GCAGTGGTCAATTTTTCTTTCAGATACATCACAGGAGCATGTGATTTGTTAGCATACAGTTTCTCTTGGCTTCACATGGAGAATCAAGTAATAAGCCAAACAATACTTATACAAAGATTGACAGAAGGGGCTATCCCTATATATATATGGTCCAGGCTAAATATCAGAGAGACAAATTGTGCTTGCCAGGATGGGTTGTTTTGAAACAAGAGTTTCAGGGGGAGCTAACTGTGACATTTATGGACAGAAAGGTTTGATTTGTTGTAATGGGTATGGCCCCAGCAGTAATCAGGGAAAGAGTGCGAGAGAAGGGTGCGTTGTGGGAAGAACCGGACATAGTGGAGAATAAAGAAACTTCGTTGAAGGTATTTAAGAACGCTGATATCATAAAGAGGTTGAAGGTGTTTTTCTGTGTAGTGTTGAATAGCAAAAGTTACAGATTACGTAGTGTATCATGTGTTATGATAACTACAGAATTATTTAATCGAGAAGTATACACTTAGCTGGTTCAGTTATCTAGTCACATGAGTAGAGCTCTTTTACGGCTTTTGCACAAGTTATCCTCATTATGTCTTCTCCCCTACCTTAATTGCAAACTGATCTTTTCTCATTCTCTTGTGAATTTCAGGACAAGAATTTGGGGAGAATGATTGAACGTGCTAAGGCTCAGCTGGTTATACTTCCTGGATACACCTGACTGACTCAGCACCATTCTCTCCATACCATATTAGACAAGTTATGGTTGTACCACAAAAAAAGAGTATCAGGACACCCTTCTTTCTCCACCCTTAAGATCATGTTTCCCTCTTTATTTTCTAATTGCAACAATGGAAGTTTACACTATAATGTATGTGAACTAGCAAAACACCAGCGTGTAACTCTTACTCCTACTAATAAAATAATTTTCCCTTTCAACTAACTTATTGGGATCTCTCTAATATTCCTAGATCTATAGGGCACAGTGGTTTTGTTTCCTCTATTGACGATTGTACTCGGATTACCTAACTTTTTTCTGTTGTCTAAAACTAAACTCAGTCGTATTATTCCTCAGTTTCATACCACAATTAAAACTCAATTTGAGGTCACAATTAAATATTTTAGAACTGATGATACTCGAGATTACTTTAGCTAGACCTTAACCACCTTCTTTTAAAAAGAAGAAATTGTTCATGAGTTTTCCTGTATATATACTCCATAATAAATTGGAGCCACTGAACAAAAAAAAAAAGTCATTTGCTTACTGCCACATGTCTCTTCTTGTTCCAAAACCATGTCCATAAACACTACTAAGGGAGAAGCTGTCTTAACTACCACATATCTTATTACTCAATTACCATCTAGAATACTAGATTTTCAAAGTTCAATGTAAATTCTACCTACTTTCTTTCCAGAAGTACGCATCACCAATAACTTTATACCTCGTGTCTTTGGATATATTAATTATGTTCACATACATCAGTATCAAAGAGGAGAAATCGACCATAGGATAATCAGATGTATCTTCGTAGAATATTCATCCACTCAAAAAGGATACAAATGTTACCATCCATCCACAAAAAAAAATTTGTGTCCATTGATGTGACTGTTGCTGAGACTGAGTGATTTTTTAACCAACTATTTTTTTAAATAATCCCCGAGTGAGATTTCAGTATCTGCATCAGCTTCCTCGGCATCCAGATGCTGACATGCCCCAACTTGAGGATTATTTAACCAAACTTATCTTCAAGATGAGACTATATTAGAAGACAAAGAAAAAATGAGAAATTCATTTTTTTGACGTTCCTGCCCTGGCCTCAAACACATTGCCATTCAGACATTTTTCTTCATTATCTGAGCCCTTTGCCTCACCAAAAGATCAGAATCCACAAAATGAATCCAAAACCTCACAAGATAAGTCTGATCAGCAACCTATACAGAACCCACATTTTGCCCATGTATATTCAATAAGAAAAAACCTCGACTCTAGTTCAAAGTAGGTCCAAGAATCAGATCCGGATACTAGAAGTGAGGTAACCTCTAAGAATCACTATTATCTCTAAAAAAACCTCAAAGAATCACTATCTTTCTAATAGTAGTTTACCTATTGTACTTACAAAATGAACTAGAGAATGCACCAAGCACCCGAGCTAGTGATTTTTGTAACATTATATCGCAACTTTTTCTTTGCTAATTTCAATCTTCCACGATTGAATGGAAAACTTGCACCTGACTTACCACTGTTTTAGAGAAGGAACACAAACTAGCCAGCTTCAAGTCTCCCATGTCTCCCCCAAACACCAGCTCATGGATCTTCTCACAAACCACAGAATAAAACTTGACTGCTGCAATTTTGATCCAATGTTGGAGTCTATTATGGCTCCCCAATCTTGAAGGGACATATAGTAGTCGCGCAATTATCTAACTTATACTAGGACTCCTAGTATAGGTTTTACCACTTTTATCTCCATCGCTTTTGAACATTCATCCCTTTGCAATACCTGATTAAGTCATGTTTGTAACTGACCTGTTATCTCTTAGCATGTCCATCATATATAAGGTTGTATAGGATTCTGTATACTGCCCTCTGACTCGAACGTGAGGACAGCTCTGCTATAGGAGGACTAGCTTGAATTGAAGGACTAAGTAGAAGGCTTTGGATTGGATTATTTTGCGCAAAGGAATTGAAACCAGAATTAATTTCAACATAGGCCAACAAGACCCTCAAAAAGAAGCATCTCTATCACGAGTGAGTCAACTTTTTTCCAAAGTCTAGCTTCCATCTTGAGAATATCCTGACCATTACGCCATCTTTGCATTGCATAACACCATATTTGTAGCAACTTGTGAGAAAAATAGATTTCCAGTTCAAGTAATTGGCAAAATCAAGGATTTCAGTAACATACTTTTTGGTGTTGGGAGACCCTGACAGAAGGGCGAGAAAAATGAGTAGGAACAGAGGACGATAAGGATGTTTGAACTAGAAGAAGAAGAATCTCCCATGGTGAAATTGGAGAGAAAAAAGAACTAAAGAGCCTTATTTCAGCTGCAGCATCATGTATGTTTTATGAATAAGTTCTCTTAGTATGTAATATTATTGTTGATATGCTATATATAAAAAAGTACAAGAATGAAAATTACAGAAGCCCTGCTATAGGATAAACACTGAAAAAAGAGAAATATAAAAACAGTTGTATGTCTATACTATAACAAGGTCCCAGCATTTTATTACATTCGGACACATTCTGATTGCCAAGTTCAGTTATAAAGGAAACCGCCCATGTCAAATAGTGGATACATATAGAACCAAAAAGTATAGTAGCTTGTAAAGTCATTAAACTTGGAAAAAATCCATAAAGCTCAAATCAGGCAGTCCATCGGTTAAGCAGAATAAAAAGTGAAAGAGTGACAAGGAAAACATGATGTGATACAAAGCATTCAATTCCAAACAGACTAGAACAGGTTAGAATGATATCAGGCAGTCAGTTTCAAAAAACTAGAACTTCAACGCACATGGTACATACATGGCATTTAATTTGAAGCCAAGTAACAATATTCATTAGGAGGATAAGTAGAGGTCAGAAAATTCACCAACATGAAATGAAATAAGCTCAAAGACTGTAACACTCTAATTTTATTTTTATTATTATTATTAGAATTATTATTATTTTATTTTATTTTATTTTATTTTTTCTTTTATTTATTATTTAAGTAATAATATAATTGTTTTAATTTAATTTAATTTAATTTAATAGAAATAAAAATAATAATAATGATAAAAATGGGTAAAATTATTTTTGGGGTTTAATTGAAAACAATTTTGGAAAAAATGGGTGAAAATTTAGATTTTGGAAGTATTTTTGAAAAGAAAATCGGAAACCGGTGGTCAAAACGCAATTTAGAAAATTTGCGCCACATTAGCAGTCCGATCAGCAGCTCCGGGCCAACCAGAATACGCCGCGTGGTACAGCCGCTGATGCACAACGGCCCCGTGAAACGGGGCGGGGGGGGGCGATCCACTTGCGCGCGATCGGACGGCTGAGATCTGTTCCCGCGCACACGGACAGCCCAGATTATACGCGCGCGCGGACAGCCCTGATAGCACGCGTACGGGACGGCTCAGATTAAAAGGAAAATGTTATAAATAATCTTATCCACACCCAACCCCAAACCCTAGCCGCCAGAGCTCTCGCCGGAGAAGACAGCCCAGCCACCGGAGGAACCGACCGCCGCCACCCCCCGCTGCGCCGGAGCACTTTCCAGCCGCCAAACGAGTTAAAATTTCTCATCTTGGCTCGGATTTCGATGCTGAACCCCCATATGGCCAAATCGGAGCCAAACCACCGGCCAATTGACCGGAAAACGCCGCCGCAGGTTTTCTCGATTTTTGCTTCCAATGAGGACCTTCCCAATTCCCGTTCGATGTAATTTTTACACCACTGTGACCACCGTCCTTTCCTCTACAGGTTGACCAGAACAAAACGCCAAATTGTGACTCGCGCAGGAGGAGCCGCCGCACCCGAGAGCTCCACCCCCGGTAAGTCTCAATTTTCTGTATTTTTTTAGCCCACCGAAGGCCCTACATGCGGAGGAGCCGCCATGCCGGAATTCTGAAATTGGCCAAGGAGGCCCTAGGTCTGATTTGGAGTTTTTTGGGGGCATGTGCAGGTACCGAAAGTGTGTTTCAGTTCCCGAAAAAAAATTTAGGGAATTTAAGTACTGCCTGTAGGCACAATGAAAAACCGATTTTAGACTTCAAATCAAGTAAGGATCTCTCACCCTATTTCCTATCACGGTATTAAAGTTTAATAAATGATAAAACGGTATTTTATGAATTCATGGATATGTATAATTAATTAAGGTTGCTAATGGAACCCGAATCTGATATGTTTTTCGGTCAATTCCTATTTGATTTATTTTACAGTCTAAATGCAGTGTAGTATCTGATTTGTTTATTCTGTGGCTTCGTATGCATGATTCACTGTTTAATTTATTATGGTTTGATTATTGTGAACCCGATGTTATATTTGCCTTTTTTGGTGTTCGTTACTGGTTTACGTATTTATGTTTGATTGGGTAATTGAGACTAAGAACAAATAAGAATGGGATTGAATTGATAAATGGATAGGTTAACAGCCTCACTAGACATCCTGGGAGATGGTGGACGGACCGGGTCCATAGGGGACCCTACCGGGAACGTTGTCTCTCATACCGGACGGGGTATGGAGACTTTAAATGTTTTGGCGCTCATACCGGACGGGGTATGGGGACAGCCCGCTTCACCCTCATACCGAACGGGATATTGAAGTTTATTGTTTTGGCGCCCATACCGGACGGGGTATGGAGACAGCCCTGGAATTAAGTTGTTAACATGAATGGTTCACGTGTGACGGAAACCCCTATGGATCCTCATGAATACTGGTAGGCTGGTAAAAGAGGAAATTTATTGCCTAATGATTGAAATATTAAAAGTATGACATGTGTTGTGTTATGTTACAAAGTGCATATGATTTCATAATATTATTGTTTTCATAAGTTGTTTTCATGAATTTCACCGAACTAAGTGGACAGTAAAAGGGTTTTATTATTGATAAATGAGATTGTTATAAATTATGTTCCATTAGTCGTTTTTATTTTCTACCAACCTTTACTTCTGTGATAGTGAGATAGTGTGACATCTTTATCGGACTAGTGTATCTCATTTCTTACTTAACCATTTTAGATCAGGAGAATTTGGTTCCCGAGCCCGTTCCGCAAGAAAACGGCGAGTAGATGCCTAAAAGATTTTATAATTTTTCTTATAGTATTCATTTCTAATATTTACTTTAATTAACTTATTCTTTCATACGTTTAATACGTTTTGGTTATTGTGTAAGGGATGTTAATTATAATATTTTATTTCACTTCCGCACTTAAAATTTTATATATGCGTTTTCTTTTAATTTCCAAGATCGTTACAAATACACTGAATTGCAATATGCCAAAATCCCAACAAATGTATAGTAAGTGGTGGAACATTCATGGAACATTCATAGATTCTTCTTAATCATTGATGACCCTTAATTATTTTGTTTTGGCTTTCATTTCAAAATTTGACCTCAAACCAATAAGGAAACGTGTCAATCACCCAGATTGTTAAAACCAACAACCTCAAGGAAGTCGATTACAAAAATAGTTAACTAACTCCGCGGAACCATAAAATTTCGGTGCATGAAGGTAGAGAAAGTAGAACAAGACTAAAAGAAGATGAGGCTTAAAAACAGGAAGAATACTAGTACCCTTTATCAAGAGCCGTTCAGAAAGCAAAACCCTAAATTCAGATAAAAAGATTGTTCTCACATGTACATATGTATATGTACAACCGCAGACAAGAAATTAGACCCTAAGAAAGCATGAAAAACTTCACACAACTGGATAAGAATTCAAACAAAAACTAGAAAAACCTGATTATGAATATCAAACCATGTATAGAGAATGTCATCCAGTTCAAAGATCAAAAGCAATACTACCACTGAAATTAGTTCACAGATCATCTGATACTTTACAAAGGAAAATACTAACTACCCAGCTTGAGAATCAAAACACATGTCCATATATATAAAACAAAAAGCACTAGGAAACTTTGACCGAGGGCTCTATTAAAAACAAAAACATCAAATACATGAAACCCATCAAAATTTCAAGACCAAACTACAAGAACCCACCAAAAAACTTAAGCGAAAAGTAGCAAAAATTGAAAACCTAAAGAACAAATCTCAACAGGGGGAAAAATGGAAACCCAAACCTTTCCTGTCCAGCAGTATCCCAAATTTGAGCCTTGATGACCTTGCCATCAATCCTTAAACTCTTAGTGGCAAACTCAACCCCGATAGTAGATTTAGACTCGAGATTGAACTCGTTTTTTGTGAACCTTGAAAGCAAGTTGGATTTGCCCACACCGGAGTCGCCAATCAAAACCAACTTGAAAAGGTAATCGTAGTCATCTTCGGGCTTGTACCCAGCCATGTCCTACCACTCTTTTTCTTGCTTCTTTTCACAGTAACTCGGAATTCAAACTTCAGAAAAAGCTGTTCAAAATGGAGAGAAGAGAGAGAGAGACGTCTAGTGTTTTAGCTTTGGTGGCCTCTAAATTTGGAGGAGATGGGAAGTTGGGTGCTCTAGTGGGAATGACAAGGATCGGTGCGGGGCTTGGTAGCCTGGAACCTTGCCATTAAAGTTAAAAAAAAACAGAAAGATAGTTTGTAGTATTATTGATTATGTGTTTATTTAATTATTAAAATGTATAAATATTTATTTAAAATTTTATATGATCAAAAAAGGAAGTTTCTTTATTAGTAAGGACTTTATATTATGAGTTATGCATTTTTCATTTATGTTTTAAATTTTAATTTAGAAAATTTGTACAATCTTTATGTGTATCTCTATCATTTTCAAACTATATAATTATTCTACAATCAATACTTATGTTCGAAGGGAATTTTATTTTATATGTACCATCAAGTTTTTGACATTATTATCATTTCTTTACATAATTTCATGATTTATTATATTGTTTAAGAATGGAGGTATTTTCATATATTGGTGTATAATTTCATAATTTAGTATATTGTTTAAGAATAGAGATATTGTCATATATTGGTCTATATTATCTGCAAAAATAGTTATGCTTGCGTTTATTATTTTAAGTGTTAATTAAATATATAATTTTACCACCAAAGTGGTTGGCTAATAGTTAAAATTTTAGTATTTGATTTGAAATTCATGAGTTCGAATTTTATTAAAAATATAAATTGTACTTTTTTTGTAAAGGACCGAAATTTAAAATGAAATAAAGTCATGAATTAAATACAGAAACGAAATAATAGAGTTTAGGGTTTATATTCCTTACACAATAATTTAAAATGCCCAATAGCGTTACAGAAATGTCCATTCTAAAACAAATTACAAAAATTAAAAAAACAAACAAAAAATCAATAACTGAATATTTTAGGACAACCTTCACTAGCTTTTGAAGGGAGTCCGAGTGGTGAACTTATTCACAACTCTCTTGTTGATTGCGATCTAAATTTTTCTTCTCTTGATTTAAAATAGTTAATGAAATGGTGAGTTACACTAACCCAGTAAGAATATCACACTGCTCACCGACATTGAAACTGAATGTTGGTAAAAATCATAAAAATAACCATTCAATATTGTCAACTAACCGGCCGTTCTCATACTTCGTCCGGTATGAGCACCAAAAATATCATCCCTCAATACCTCGTCCGGTATGAGGTTGAATCAGGTCGTCCTCATATCTCGTCCGGTATGATCGCCAAAATATTATTTCTCGATACCCCGTTCGGTATTATGCAACATTCACGGTAGGATTCTCTATGTACCCAGTTTTTTTCTCTGGCGGGAGGCTGACGGCTAGGGTTTGGATTCGATGTGATACAAGATATTTATACTCATCTCGCTTAAATCTGGACCATTCATTGCATTTGATCTCGACTATCCGATCACATTTTAAAAAAAACGAATATGGACCGTTTATTGCGATTTGATCTCGATCATATGAACGCGTTTAAAAAAAGAACGAGTCTGGACCGTTCATCACATTTAATCGCGATTGTTCACTCATGTCTGATGAGGGAACGGATCTAAACCGTCCGGGTTGTCCGATCGCGGGCATGCGGATTACTAGTATGGCCTCCCGCATGGCATTGAGTCAGTGTGCCTTGCCACGCGGTGCACTCGTAGCATAATTTTTTAATTACGTTTTGACCTTCAATTTTTTATATTTCTTTCAAAAACACCATATGAATCTAAATTTTCACTCATTTTTTCCAAAATTATTTTCAATTTCATTTTCAACCTATTTTTTTCCTAATTTTACATTAAATAAAAATTTATTATTTTTAAAATTATATTTTTATACATTGTTTAAAAAATTTTAAAATTAATTTTGAACCAAATTTCAGATCTGGATATTATAATTTTTATCAGTGTATTAGTAGAATTGTGGTGATCAAATTGGATTATATTTTAGTGAATTTATTATATTTTTAAATAAAAAAATTATGATAATTAACATATAATAAAAATCTTTTAATTATGCTCTTCATAACGAATTAAAATTTTAATCTAATTTTTTTTGTTCAGAAAGTACTAGACATGTAGTTTGTAAATAATACTCGCACACATGTATATATGGAGGTCTTACATCACCACATGAGTATATATATAATTGATTGTATTGCATTCATAACTTTTAAAACAAGTAAGCATTCAAATTTGTATTATATATATCACACTATATTATGTAAATAATTACAAATATTTTTTTTCTTGAATTTCATTATTAATTTGTTTGAAAACATAATGTAAACCCAAATGCTCTTGAGCCTAATGGAAAAAAAATTTATGAAATAAAGTATATTTCATGCATAACTGAAGTAAAAACTTAAAAAAATGTAAAAATGTGATAAATAATGTAACGGCCCCAGAAATTTAGAATGAAATATGTGTATTAAAAATGTCAAATGCGGAAGCGTAATAAAAATTTTGATTAACATCCCTTACACAAAAAAACCAAAAACATGCTCAAAATATAAAAGAACAAACTAACTAAAAGAGATACTCGAAAATAAGAACTATAAATATAACTACGAAGTCTTTAAGCGTCCCCTTCGTCATCTTCCCGCGGAACGGGTTCGGGAACAATGTCTTCTTGATCTGAAATAATTAAATAAGGAATGAGCTACACCAGCCCAGTAAAGATATCATACTATCTCACCGCCACGGAAGTAAAGGTGGGTAGAAAACACAAAAAAGACCAATTGAGCATAATTTATAATAAACTCGTTTATTAACATAAAAACATTTGCTGTCCACTTACCTCGGTGAGAGTCATAAAAATAACTTATGAAAATAATAACATTATCATCATCATGAAATCATATGAACTGTATAACAAAATACTTACCACGCCTTTGCATTTCAATCATTAAACAATATATTTTCTTCATTTATCAGCCTACTAGTATCTATGGGGATCCATAGGGGTCCCGCTACCCGTGAACCCTTAATATTTATAATCCGATTCCATGGCCATCCCCATACCCCGTCCGGTATGGGTGCCAAAACCATAAACCTCAATACCCCGTCCGGTATGAGGGTGAAACGGGCCGTCCCCATACCCCATCCAGTATGGGCGCCAAAACACATAAGGTCTCCATACCCCGTCCGGTATGAGAGACCAAGTTCCCGATAGGGTTCCCTACGGACCCGGTCCGTCCACCATCTCCTAGGATATGTAGTCAGGCTGTCCATATTACTCACTTATCAATTCACATAACCTTTTTGCCTTTTTTTTTTGTTTCAATCATCCAAACACACACAACATGTAAACCAGTAATGGACACCAAACAAAACAACACAGTATTGGGTTAAGCATAATACCGACCATAATAAAGAAACCATGATTCATGCATACGGGACCATAATATAATTACATCAAACATCATGCTGCATTTAATACTGGAAGTTAAATCCAACAATAACATACCAACCCAGTATCAAACTCGAGCTCCATTGGCAACCTTAATCAATTATACATCTATAGAGTCACACATTACAGTTTAATTATTTATTTAGCTTTAATACCGTGATAGGAAATAGGGTGAGGGGTCCTTACTTGTTTCGGGGTCTGAATACAGCTCTACAGTGCGCCTACAGGCTGTTCCTAATTTTCCCTAAATTTTTTTTGGGGAACCGAAACGCACTACTGGTACCTGCACATATCCCAAAAAATCCCAAATTAGACCTAGGGCCCCTTTCGGCCAATATCGCAATTCCGGCACGGTGGCTCCGCCGTGCTCCGGCGACGGCGCCGCCACTTGCGGCGGCGATTGGCCTCGGGTTGGCCGTTTTCGGCCGAATTCGATCACGCTTGCATCGGTCCCTGCGATAGAACAACCCTAGGGCCCTCGGTGGACCGAAAAATCATGAAAAACTAAAACTTACCGGCAGCAGTGCTCTCGGGTGCGGCGGCTCCTCCGGCGTGAGTCGTGTTTTGATGTTTTGCTCCGATCAACCTGTAGAGAAAAGAACAGTGATCACAGTGGTATAAAAATTACATCAAACGGAGGCCGGGAAGGGCCTTATCGGAGGCAAAAACCGAGGAGGGACGCCGCGGCGGCGCTGGTTTTTGGCTGGGTTTTTCAGCCGTTTGGCAAGTGGTTTGGCTCCGGTTTGGCCATAGGTGGACTTATCGTCGAAAAACGAGCAAGTGGGAGAAAAATTACCTCGATCGGCGATCAGAAACTTCCTCGGTGCGGCGGCGGGTGGCGGCAGCCGGCTCTTCCGGCGTCTGGTTCTTCTTCTTCGGCGAGCACTGGCGGCTAGGGTTTCTTTGGTCAGGTGTGGGTGGGGGGGGGGGGTATTTATACCCTTTGCCTTTTAATCTCGATCGTCCATCAAGATTGAATCTGGGCCGTTCGATCGCGATTTAATTGGGATTAAATCTAGGTCGTTCATCGTGATGCAATCAAGGCTGTCCGTGCCTAATTGAATCTGGGTCGTCCGTGCGCGTGAATCTGGGCCATCCGTGCTCACGTTTGATCTAGGCCATCCGTGTGCGCAGGAACGGATCTGGGCCATCAGATCACGCGCACGCGGATCGCCCACGTGGCCCATTCCCTGGACAGCATTGACTTGCCACGCGGCGTGTTCTGGTTGGCCAGAGCTGCTGACTGGACCGCTGACGTGGCATAACTTTTCTAAATTACGTTTTGACCCTCCGATTTCCGATTTTCTTTTTAAAAACACCCTCATAATTCAAATTTTCACCCCTTTTTTCTAAAATCAATTTCAATTAAATCCAAATAATATTTTTACCCAATTTTATCATTATTATTATTTTTATTTTCATTAAATTAAATTAAATCAAATAAAAAAAACCAAACAAATAAATAAAAAAATAAAGATAAATAAAATAAAAAATTTTATTTATTTGGGTGTTACAAATAAAATTTTTACACACGGAAAATAAAATAAACTAAGGCAAAACATGTAACACCTAGGTCCAGGATAATCAAATTATAATAATAAATAATTTAAAGAATTTAGAAATTTTAATTTTTTAATTTTTAATTGAAAATTTTTAAGAAAATTATGTGAAACGATCCGATAAATTTCAAAAGAAATAAATGATAATTAAAGTGCAGAAGCAAAATAAATGT